AAGTGTGTTTCGCTGGTATGCCGAATTTAAAAGAGGGCGAGTTTCATTGCCTGATGAAGAACGTAGTGGTAGGTCATGTTCTATTGCGACTCCAGAAAACATTGCTAAAGTTCAACGGCTAATTGAAGGTTCTCGCGGCACATATGCGACTATAGATTCAACTCTTGGGGTAGGATCCGCAACAGTGCGCACCATTTTGCATGATCATCTTCATTCAATAAAGTTGTTGCAGAGGTACAATCCTGTATCACGACAATACCTCCAGCCACACTGCCCGACTAACTGCAGACTTTTTACGTCAGCGCCACAACAAAATGTGTGACTTTTGGCACTTCAAGAATTTGGGTGGTCGAAAATTTTCGTCCGAAGAGAAAATCGATCAAGCAATTAATCAGTATGTTGAAGGCACTCCAAAAGCTGACTGGCTAGAAGCATTTCATTTGTGGATGGTCAGGTTACAGAAGGAGGAGAATACCTTAAACATAAATAAACTAGTTTTCGAAAAATAGCTTTTAGTTTTCACGTATCTCAAAATGTATAGCGTAACCCTCGTACAAGATGACACATATCTAAGGCAATGTAACTAAATGAAACTTATCCGATAGTGTTCATACTCGGACACCACGGTAGCTTTTTTCAAAGCACGCTTCATATGTTTCTGTTTCCAGGTGACAGTTAATTCCTTTTTTTCTTTTTACTTCTCACATCCACTGGCGAGGAAGTATCGACATCGCTAAAATCAGATATCTTTTTCTGGATCTTATATGACATGTTCGTCATGAAAAGCCATGTTACGCGGTCTGTCTGTGCGTGGATCTGTCGGTCGGTCTTTCAGCTAGTCCCTGGTCCCTCCATAATAATAATATTAATAATAAACAGCTTTATTGGCACAGCTATTCTTACACTCAACCTCTCTAAAGACTAAAGCTTAATGCTAATTCGACATACAAATACATATAAACGATTGCAAGTCTATGAATCTAACTAGAAGAACATAAGGGTAATTGATCACAGGTCATTTATTCATTGATCCTATGGTGAAATCCTAGAAGATGTTGTCTGAGATGCAGTTTGAAATGGATGTTATTAGGATTTGATATATCAATATTCCTGATATACTTGTTAAAGGGACACTGCATTATACGTGAAAGATCTATAAAAGGGTGATGTTACATACATAGGCAAAATAGGTTCAATGCTGCACGGTGAAGGCCATCATGATACAGTTTTGCGCACATAAGTGAATGGTCAATGGTGTCAAAGGCTTTTGAAAAATCCAAGGATATAAGTAGAGTGACAAGCCTCTTGTCTAGCGACCGTAACTTCATCATTAATATTTAAAAGAGCAGTGGTTGTATTATGCCCTCCACTAATATCCGACTGGTGCTTAGGGAGAATGTTTTGATCTATTGAATATCGATTTAGCTGTACATTAACTATTTTTTCTAATAGTTTGGATGGAATGCATAGTAAACTAATAGGTCTCAAATGAGCCAGCTCAGTTGAAGCAGGGATCTTCGGAAAAGGGCTTACCACAGCCTCTCTCCAAAGTCGAGGAAAATATTCTTTCTATAAGCAACAGTTTATAATGTGTGTCAATGGATTTAATAACTCTGATATACGAAGCTTGAGCATACACAAGGTTCAGCCGTCAGGACCACATGCATTTGATCTTATCTTCGATATATGCTCCAGTACAACACTTTGGTCAACAAAGCGGAATATGAAGCAGGAATCACTCATCTTGCCGGCGTAATATCTGGTAATAAGAGCATTAGATTCATTATTTCTTATGAAGGACCTGTTTATTTTATTAGGATCGCTTAAGGATGGTGGTAGTGAAAACGAACATGATTTATTTATATTCATGTTTTTCAGAGTTTTCCAAAATTGCCTATTATTTCTCTGAGAATAACATAACTTGTGAAGGACTGCTTGGATTTAGACAAAATTCTTACACAAGGTTTTTTTTATACCAATGGTCGAGAAGACTTTACAGTTATCGAAAATCAATCGGTCCAACGACGACAGGGAAAAAAGCCACAAACGGCAAAAATAACAATCACCCAAACTTCGTGTTTTGACATTTCGGATTTTCGAAAAATTTTTGAGGGATACATAACTGTAGGGTAGGGAACTGTAGGGGGTGCAACAGGATAACTATAATGTTTTTCATTTATAGGCTTTCAACAGCAGTATTTCTGTACACGTATTGGGCATATTTCAGGCATAAAACATTTCTCTGTAGATTTGCCTTGAGGCATAATAATAAATTATTTCGATACGCGTCTCTTCTGCTCCCGGCGGCGGGCCGGTGTTGGTGAGAGTTCTGGTATTATTGCCATGCTGCCTCGCCTGACCGAGTGTGATGTCGAGAAGAGGCAACGTTGCCAGATGAGCTTCTAGTAGGGTATGTACAGGGTGGCCAATATGAAACTGACTGATTTAAATTGCGCACAATCTTTGATACACGCATTTCAGTAGGTGGCGCCGTAGTAGTTGTTTAAAGCACATGTGTCCAGTTCGTCATGGAATGCTACATGATCCCACCACGCGTTAACTGTTGTCCAAACGTTTTACTTAAATAATAAGTTGATTGCTGCAAGATCTCGGTTGAAATGATGTGCCCAGTCGGCAGTTATTGCGGAAATTTAAACAAACAGGTGAAGTTAAAGACTTGCCAAGGTCGGGCCGTTCGTACTCCGGAAAATATCACGAAAAAGTGTAGTGGAGCTCCCTGAGACGTCTACCAGACATCGTTCTCAAGAACTGGGTATTCGTGGCAGGTCATTATGCACTCTTTTAAAAAAGTACTAGCGTTTGCGCCTATACAAAATTCACTTAGCCCAAGAACTACAGCCGACAAAACAGTCATGTAATATTGCAGCTTTGTTAATAAACAGAATTCCCATATCCGAGCATTAGAGAACCATCGTCTCATTAATTAACGACCACTACATCCTCGTCGAGTCACAGTCTCGTGCGGCGTTTGGTATGGATTTGTCATTGGACCTTACTTACTGTCACTGGCGAGCGCACTTTCCGGCTCGTCAAATCCAATAATACAGGGTGGCCCATAAGTCCTTTGAGCTGGAAAAAAAGGAATAAAACCAAACTAGTTACATTATGAAGAATTATTATATTTTGTTATCATCTTTATTGAATGGGAATTATGTTTTAAAAATCACATCGTCTAAATGCAATCCATTACGATCACGGCACTCATATAAACGACGTCTAAAATTGTCGATGACTGCGCGGCAAGTCAACACTGTAATGCTTGCCATTTCTCTTCGGATATTTTCTTTCAGGACATCAACTGATCGCGGAGTGGTGTCGTACACTTTACTCTTGAGGTAGCCCCATAAAAAGAAGACCATTGGGGTCAAATCTGGACTACGTGGTGGCCAGGAAATGTCTCCTCTTCGAGAAATTACTTTGCTGGGAAAAAGTTGACAGACGACGGGCATAGAAGTGTTGGAGGTGTGGGCAGTTGCTCCGTCCTGTTGAAACCAGGTCTGCGTATTATAGCCTGGAAAATTCTGCAACGCTGGTGTCAAAAACTGTTCTATCATTGCTACATACCGCTCCGAAGCAACAGTTAATGCGCGACCTCTGTCGTCCTCAAAAAAATAAGGGCCTACGATGCCATGCGCTGACATAGCAGCCCAAACTGTAACTTTAGGGCTGTTAAGGGCTTCTGATGCTTACGCCTTGGATTTTCGGGGCTCCAATAACGGCAATTTTGTTTATTTACATGCCCGTTTAAATGGAAGTGAGCCTCGTCCGAGAACAACACATTATTGAGCGAAGAAAATCGATTCAACATTTCATTCGCAAAGTTTAGTCTCTGAATAGCGTCATTATCTGTTAATTCCTGCACTAACTGAATTTTGTAAGCGTGCAGACGTAAATCTTTCCTTAAAATCCGCTGTAAAGATGTTCTGGGTACGTTTAGTGCACTGGAACGCTTACGAGTAGACTGGGTAGGATTTTGACGAACAGACTGTGCCACAATGTTGATGTTTTCTTCAATACGAGTTGTCCTTGGTCGACCCCACCGCTGTTTATCTAACGTCGAACCAGTCTCTTCGAACTTAGCAACCCAGTTCTTAATCGTTTGAGCTGTTGGACACTTTGTAAAATTGTGTAAATTGTGGTATTCTCGATATTTAAACCGCGCAATGGTTGCCGAATCATTATTTTGATAAAACGCGCGCACACAAAAAGCACGATCCGCTCCAGTGAAACACTCCATGGCGACTGAATTCCCAGACACTGAAGATACTGCCCCCACCTCGTCCGCGCCGCTCACGCTCACCCGTTAAATTTTATTCAAATTTGAATTTTCAAAGGACTTATGGACCACCCTGTATAACCTGCAAAGCTAGTTGGTCCAGCATGCTGAGCAACTTGTCACACAGCTAGGGAAACAATGAGTCTTTTGCGAATAATATTTCCGGGACGTTTAATTTCTCGATCTGGTGATGTCATCTGGCCACCAAGGTCACCGCATTTAACGGCTTCTGACTTTTTTTATGTGGATTTTAGGAAATTGGGGCTTATGCCAACAAACCAAGTACTGTAGAGCAGCTTAAGAGCAATATTAAGCAATTGAAAATACTCCTTCCGAAACCTCCCAAAAAGTGATGGAGAATGTAATCAAGGCTTCTGGAGGTGTACATTTGCCTAATCTTGAAATAAATAAATAAATAAATAAATAAATAAATAAATAAATAAATAAATAAATAAATAAATAAATAAATAAATAAATAAATAAATAAATAAATAAATAAATAAATAAATAAATAAATAAATAAATAAATAAATAAATAAATAAATAAATAAATAAATAAATAAATAAATAAATAAATAAATAAATAAATAAATAAATAAATAAATAAATAAATAAATAAAAAAATAAATAAATAAATAAATAAATAAATAAATAAATAAATAAATAAATAAATAAATAATGCTCACTCCAAAGTAAAGAGACACTATACATGCATAGCCTCGATATCCCTCCACATATTCTTCTTCCATTTTAGGCAACGGTCTGTAATATATCAACGTTTGAACTACTGGACCTCGGTTAATTATGAACTGGATATAATGCTACTAGAGTATCTGACCCTTGTTCGTCATATCTCCGGCGTACCCGCTTTGATGGAGATATGAGTTGGCGTTTGTAAGGATTAATTTTGTTAGCTGCATGACTGGAGGTGTATCTGCTTTCCTACGGTATGAGGAATTGATGAGAGGATGAGCTTGCTGTGGCGCTTTGTCGCGCCGTTAGAGTTTCGTGAGATATGAGGGTTCATTCAGGGGCCGTATCCATTTCTCTTCATCAGGAAAGTTTGTTAAAATGACGTGGGTGCCTCACAATTCATAACCTGAATAGTAGGGTGTCCCAGCAAAATTACAGTTATTTTTCTCAGACATTTCCTCTCTAATTTTTTGCCGTCTCTAAAACTCAAAAAATAAATATTATAGAACGATACTCCGTGCTGACTTTCGGTCAAACTTTGAATTTGAAAGTTAATAGCTAAACCATGTGTGAGTTTCACAACCTTAGTCTTATTCGACACTGCTTTTTTGTATAAGAATATGATGGTTATTTAATTTTTAGGCGTGATCGCCCGTCTCGCGGGGGAGAGGTTGCATTCTACGTGAAAAATGATTTGAGATGTACACTCTCAGACATAAATATTGGCATGTTACAAACTGATTGTTATGAAAGTTTGTTTATCTCGGTTGTCGTTAATAGTTTCAAACTTGCTGTTGGAGTCTACTATCTTCCTCCTAACAAGCATCTGGCTGACTGGATTCAAAATTTGGATCAAACTTTGCCGCGGTTGCAACTTGACTTTGGTCATATAATTATTTAGGAGATTAGGAGATTTTAATATTGATACATTGACTCACACTGAAAACAACCTATTAAACTGTTTCAACTCATATGGATTTTCTCAAGTAGGTTCTCTCAAAATACAGTAACTCTTTTAGATCTAATCTTTGTATCAAATGAGACGATAATAAATAACACATGTACGTTAAGCGCTGATGCTGTTAGTGATCACAGACTTGTATTGCGAAAATTGTCCCTGTATCGACAAAGGTCTCGTCAAAAGTTTGTCATATACCGGGATTATAAAAACAAAGTATCGATGAAAATGTAAGATTATTGAATGACTATGTTACATTATTGTTCCACATTCATGCTCCCAAAATTTCCGTCAGAGTTAGCAGGCCGCCAGTTTCCTGGCTTACAGATAATCTTAAAGTGATTTTCAAGGAGAGGGACAGGTCATTACACACTTACAAGTTGAATAGAACTGAAGAACATCTTAGGCACTACAAAGAGATGAGGAACTTTGCATTGATGGCAATGAGAACAGAACAACGTGCATATCTTAACTACTTGCATCCTCACAGAAATAATAGGCAACTCTGAAAAACTCTGAAAAGCATGAATATAAATAATTCCTCTTCCTTTTCGCTTCTGCCATCCTTAAGCAATCCTAATGAAATAAACAGGTGCTTCATGTCTGCATATACTGAAAATAACGAATCCAATGCTCTTATTACCAGATATTACTCCAGCAAAATGTTGACCAAAGTGTTGTACCGGAGCATATATCGAAGATAAGATCAAATGCATGTTGTCCAGAATGCATAACCTTGTGCATGCTCAAGCTTTGTATACTAAGTGACATATAAATCCGAACACCCAGTTTAAATGGTTTTATTTTAATAAAAGTTGGTGAATGTATTTATATTAGTGTAAATAACAAGTGAAAAAATTGTCAGCCTTATCAGTTGGACATTCCGGTTTTTATACTGCTTTTTTTTAATTCACTAACGCTCTAAAAATGAATATTTCAGCAGCAGTAAAGAATCAACGTTGGCGGATTTTGGTTCTTGACATCCTTTACGATCGTTTACGATGCCTAGAGTACGGAGACCTGTACGATTTCGTCAACTTAGTCAGTTTGATAGAAGCCGTATAGTGGGACTTCGGGAAGCTGGACTTTCTTTTCGGGCAATTACAGTTAGAGTGCAAAGAAGTGTGGTTAGGTGTTGTCAGGCATGGCTTCGAGAAGGCCGTACGCAAAGAGCAAGGGGCACTGGACGCCGCCGTAGAACAACAGACCGTGAAGGTCGCCGCCTAAGATTATTGGCCTTAAGGGACCGTTTCTCCACTACGAGGTCGATTGCAAATGAATGGTTTGCAGAACACGGAAGACCTATTGGCATGCGATGTGGTTACCGACGAATGAGAAGTTTTGGCTTGTTTTCATACCGGCCACACTGGGTCCTCCCTTTAACTCGAGAACACCGCCGTAATCGCCTTGAGTGGTGCAGACAACGGTCACTCTGGGATCAGGAATGAAACAGTATTGTCTTTAGTGACGAGTCTCGATTTTATTTAGGCATGCAGGATGGTCGTGCCAGGGCTAGAAGGCGACGTGGTGAAAGAAGGAATTCCCAGTTTTTTGTTGAAAGACATGCTCATCACACTGTTGGAGTTATGCTTTGGGGTGCTATAGCTTATGGTTCCAGGTCACCTTTAATCTTCATCAGAGGTAACATGAACGCGCAGCGTTATATCCCCGAAGTTCTAGAACCCCATCTCTTACCCTATCTTGACACCCTGGCAGATCCAACTTGCCAACAAGATAATGCCCGACCACATGTTGCAAGAGTCAAAATAGACTTCTTTCAACATAATGATGTCACATTGTTACCATGGCCACCAAGATCTCCCGACTTATGCCCAATTGAGCACGTGTGGGATATGATGGGTAGGAGATTGCTCAATTTGCAACGTCCTCCTCAGACTCTAGAAGCACTTCGAGAGGAGTTGGTGGTTGCCTGGAATGAGATACCACAGGAGGACATTGACCACCTGATCAGGAGCATGCCTAGACGCGTTGGAGAATGCGTAGCACATCAGGGTGCATCCACACATTATTAAAGGTCAAAGGGCTTTAAAGCAGTGCAATCATTTTGAAATTTTATTCATTTACTTATTATGCTTCATTAAGTACTGATACAAAATTTTATTAAAATAAAACCATTTAAACTGGGTGTTCGGATTTATATGTCACTTAGTATATATCAGATCTATTGACACACATTATGAACTCTTGCTTAGAGAAAGGATGCTTTCCTCGACTTTGGAGAGAGGCTGTAGTATGCCCTTTACCTAAGGTACCTGCTCCAACTGAGCTTGCTCATTTGAGACCTATTAGTTTACTATGCATTCCATCCAAACTGTTAGAAAAAATAGTTAACGTAGAGCTAAATCAGTATTCAATAGATCAAAACATTCTCCCTAAGCACCAGTCAGGATTTAGGGGAGGGCATAATACAACCACTGCTCTTTTAAATCGTAATGATGAAATTATACGGTCGCTAGATAAGAAGCTTGCCACTGGACTTATATCCTTGGATTTCTCAAAAGCCTTTGAGACCATTTACCATTCACTTATGTGCTCAAAACTGTATCATTCTGACATTCATCGTATAGCATTGAACTTATTTTGCAATTACTTAAGTCTTAGCAAGCAAAGCGTTATTCTACGATACATAACAAAAGACCTGAGATAACAACAATAACGTCAGGAGTTCCTCAAGGTTCTGTACTCACACATCCAATCTTATGCTGATGACACGCAGCTTCTGTTTCATTTTGAACCATCTCTTCTGGAACAGGCAAATGACTTACGAGCAGTATCTGACAATTGTAAAGAACACAATTTGAAAATAAATCCCGATGAAACGAAACTCGTGCTTCTCTGTTCTGATCACAAGCGAGAAAACTTGAGCAGTGGTCTGACCCTCTTCTTGAATGAACAACGACTTTATTTTTCAACTAGCTGTAAGATACTTAGTTTGACCATAGATGACAAGGTACGTTACCAACAATACATTAAAACAACATCTCAGAGGTGTTATTTTAAACTGCTAGTACTGTATGCCAGCAAGTACATGATTAACTTCAAGACGAGGAAAAAGCTGGCTGAAAGCTTAGTGCTATCAATTGTCAGTTATGGTTCGATAGTTTTTTGTCCATGCCTGGACTATTCGACTCAAATGCGCCTGCAGTGATTGCAGAATAGCTGTTGCCGTTTTGTCTGTAACTTACGTAAATTTGATCACATATCTAATAGTTTCAGGCTTTTCAATGAGTTAATATCAATTTTCTGTTTAAACATTTTTACCTAACAACATTGAATCGTGTATGATATTCTATGAATCCTGTATATTAGTAGAAAAGTTGGTCCCTAGGTCAAGTAATGATAATAATAATAATAATAATAATAACCTTTATTGATCATAGAAAAGATACACAAGTCTTCATAGGCATGTCAGTATTGAAAAAAGAAAAGTGCAGCATCGCAGACATAAAAGTACTCTAACTATAATAAACTCAATATACAAAAAGTCACTAATATGATTTTAGAAAGTCGAGCAAAATATCAAGAACGTTATTAAATTATCCACTCAATTTAGTCAAGAAGGCCTGCCTGTCTCTTGCCAAAGCATAATATTCCTCAAAACTGTAAATACAGGCCCTAGTTAATACCGATTTCAATTTACATTTAAATCTGCTCAGCTGAAGCGATCTCACCTCATCTGGCAATGCATTGTACAATTTGATTTCTTCACTGTTGGTTCTAGCCAATCTGTTTGTTGGAAGTACTAGATTATTGCAATGGCTTGTGTTGTATGAGTGAAAATCGGCACACTAAAAAAAGTGTGAAGTGTTTTTTCTGACATATATTAATTGTTCATAGATAATCAGGCCATACAAAGTTATTAGTTACATAATGTCAATATAAGACAACAAAACCATTTTACAATGTCTATGTATGTAACATCACTCTTTTATAGATCTTTCACGACTAATGCAGTGTCTCCTTTAACATCTATAGCAGGAATATCGATATATCAAATACTAAGAACATCCGTTTCAAGCTGCATCTCAGACAATATCTTCTAGGAATTGAGCATAGGATCAATGAATAAATGCTCTGTGATCAATTACCATTGTGTTCTTTTAGTTAGAATCATAGACTTACAATCGTTTACTGTATATGTAAAATACTATATTTGTATGTCAAATTAACATTAAGCTTTAGTCTTTAGAAAGGTTGAGTGTAAGAATAGCTGTGCTAAACTCAGCCAATAAAGCCGTTTAATAATAGTAATAATAATAATCATGATAATTTACTAAACTTTCTTTTCAAAGTTTTCTTTTTACAATCACTGATTAAGCCATGCATGCCTGCATTAACTAGACTGCTCTTTCTGCTGTATCGTTAACAGCTCTCAGTGTTTGCATCTTATTCTTAGAGTCCTGAAAAGAATGCTGGTCATGAAGTTGGACACTCGTCGAAAAAATTTTGAGTCGACTGGACAAGGACTTCCTTTTGATTGAAACAAAGTCATCGATATTTTTCTCTAAAATTAAAAAAGGAACAGCCACCATCTAAACATACTGGTTTTCTCTGTCGAAACACAGTCAGTTGTTCTGTGCTTTTTGCTTACTCATTAGCATCGTCTGGGATAGGCCTCAAGACAGGATAACAAACGATAGCATAGCAACTAACCTCTATCTAAGTGAGATCTTTGGATCACTGGATGTTTTCTTAATTACTTTGGATCGTATAGGCTGGTAAATTGATTGTGAATTTATTCCTCTGCTTTGACAACATTAGCGTTGGTAGTCTGGAACGCCACATATTACTGGTTCGATAAGTGTACATATTGAGGAGACAACTATACATACTGCTACGCAAAGTTAACTGCACAAACAAAATTTTGTTCAAATTAAATTTGAAATAACTTTTTAACCTTTGCATAAATTTCGTTAATTTATTGTCAAGTTGTAGGTAATTTCATTGTTATCATTATCGACTGCCGATCTTGCAAACAAATTAAAAATGTTTGTTGTTACTTACTAAAAGGTGCATGTTGGCCTAAATTTCTGAACACCCTGAGGAAACATTTGATCACTGAATAATGTGTCTTCGTAAGAGAATTTCAAGCGTCAACTTTTCTGAACAGTTCTTTTTTTGATTCATGCCAGTATCTCAATTATTAATGAATATATCATGCCGTCTTTCCTGCCCAGGTCTTCGTGACTAAAAGCCAGTTTCTCTAAATATTTGTATCGCATCGAATACTGTACTGCGTGAAACGGCAAGCCTTCAATTTTTGTTGAGTATTGCTTAACAAGAATATTTTTGACATGCCATAAAAATGCTAACAGACACAGACTAGCTGAAACAATTTCTTACCGGGCAAAGCATGCTTGAAACAATTTCTTGTTTATGGCTGTGATTCGTATGATTTTCTTCAAAACAGCATATATTGTTCAATAATTGAGATATTGACATACGCCAAAAAAAGAACTGATGAGAAAAGCTAAGGCTTAAAATTCTCATACGATGCGTATACATTATTCAGTAATCCAATGTTTCCACTCTATGTTCAGAAATCTAGTGCATCATGCACCTTTTAGTTACACCCTGTATAACAACAAATATTTATACTTTATCTGAAGTCACTTGAAATAGCATAAAAACCCTTGGTCGGCGCGTCCTTTGTAATTTCATGACGTATCATAGGCGTGCGGTCATTTATTTAGAACGATAATAATAATGTTTTTATATCACAATAAATGGACTTTACTATCTTCTTATTTTTTTGATTTGGGATAAAAAATACTTATATTGGGAGTTTAATTTATGTTGACTGAAAGTCAAGAAATGGAAAAATTACAGAATTCCAACGTTTGAAATAGGCAAATATTTACATAGCAGGTAGGTATATAAAAAGGTGTATAAAGACTTACATTATAGGTATTTATATATCATCCTCGCCTTCGGAGCTGTCGCTAGACTCATCTTGTAGAGGAATTACAACAGGATTTACAGGAGGCAAAACACAATATTCATTTTCTTTTTCAATAATATGCCTAGAACACTGCTTCCATAGGTCTGTTGCCGCAATATGAGATACTACATCTCTTATTGTGGCCAATAGCGATTCACTTAATTGAGGGGCTGATTATGCTTTCTTACTTTTTTTTAAAGCAGCCCAGACCAACTCAATCGGGTTAAAAATGCAGTAATAGGGAAGTAGACGTAATACTTCATGGAGATTTTGCTGAAGCAGATTGTCAACAACATACTCTTTTTCAAATTTTTGTCTTTTAATAAGATCCAATAATATGGCTTTGGTTGATTTTTGTGGTATTTCCATTCCCTTATCCTTCATAAAATCAATAATGTCTTGTTTTTTTGTGCCTGTATTCGGAATTTTGTTTTTCTGTCGGGATTGGTATGGCGCATTGTCCATAATAATCACTGAATTTGGGGAAATGTTTGGTAGCACTGCTGCTCTATCCACTTTTCAAATAAGTCGTAGGTCATGTCCTCATGATAGTCGGCACATGATTCTTTGATATTTTTGGCAGATAACATCAAGGCATTAGGTATAAATCCATTTTCACTGCCAGCATGGAGAATAATGATTCGTTTTCCACGGTTGCATGGTGCATTTAAAATGCACTTGTTGCTGTCGTCAACCCAGCCGTACTGCACAACATCATGGGAATCATACCACGTTTCATCCAGGTAAATCAGATTTCTCTTCTGCTCTCTATAGATTTTAACTTTGTGCAAAAATTCTTGGCGCAATTCAACGATTCGAGACGACTCCATACTCACCATTATTTTATCTAATTTTTTGTATTGAAAACCACACAGTTTTACAATACAGTGCAGTGAGTCTAAGCATTTGTAATTATAAAAATCTTCAGGATAATCTTTTAATTTATCCCGTATCATTTCCAACGTGGGCACCAAATTTTCTTTATAAAATCCGTATATTATACGACGAATGTCTTCCTGAAAACCCACGTCTATTCTTTTTAATTTTTGCCCTATGCGCTTTCTGTGGAAGGAATGGTTGACTACATCTCCCCTTTTTATAACCCGATAAATGGTAGACAGACTGATTTTTGTCAGGATACAAATTCTGTTTAAAATTTGATTTTGCGGGGAATCTGGATTTTCGTTTTTCAGACAATCATACATATTTAGGATTACTCTTTGGATCTGTTCGTCTAAATCTTTATGAAAGAATTCTGCCTGCACAGGTTCATCAACCATCTCCTCGTGGCTTGGAGCATTTTCCCAAGGTCTCCAAAGAGCCATATTTAGGACACACAAGAACAATCAACACAACAATTAAATCAACAAGTAAACTGAGTATTCAAAAGTCAAAAACACACAAACTAATAAAATCTATGAAAAAACACGGACACACTAAAGAAAACACGTTTATTCACCGCTACACGGCACTGGCTAAACTGTTTCAATTTTCAGTAGCCACCTGCACTTGTTCGGAGCTCTGAAATACACGCTTTCTCAGCTATGTCCACGCATAGGCGTGCTTTACTCCACGTGGATCGGTGAAACTGCCTTTGATCTTATACGGCGGATATTTGCTGCGAAATTTGGCGATTTTTGCAGCAACAGAGCGTGTTAAATATAGATATATAGAACGCACCCGGTATTTCACAGTGTTTCAAGTGACTTCAGATAAAGTATACACTTTTTTGTGCAAGCCCGACAGTCGATAATGGAGACGATGAAATTACTCTAATTCGAACAAAATTTTGTCTGTCCGGTTAATTCTGCGGGGCAGTGCGGTTCTGGTTTGTAACCAACACCCGACAGTGATTTCTGTTCCCAAATCTTGCTGCATATTTAACGCAGATCGATCCCAGGCAGCAGCAGAGGCAGCAGCGTTGGCGGATTTTACGAGCACCAGAATCAACTGTAATTTCCGGGTCTTGGTGCCGGCTCATATATCACGTTACTGAATACTACCGACCGTTCAAACTTTAAACGGGTTGCCGCTGCTTAACAATACACCACGTCAGGAAGACAAATGCTCCATGATACAAGGGCTGATTCAATATTGCTGTGCTGGGCATATAAACAATGAATTAACTCATATGCATCCTACATTCATATACTTAGAAATTATTTTTTTGGGGAGTTTAATTAAGAAAGTAGCAAAATACTTACTACTCGTACCTATGACTATCGAGAATTAATAGCACTTTCAATATGGTCAACAAATTTCAACTTTTTGTCTGTATCCTGAATGGCAATTAATTATTCCTATTTACTCCTAAGATGGCCAATAAAATATTTTGTTGGCCCGAGAAAATAAAACAATAGCCACAGCATGTTTAATACACTTTATTGAATAACAACATATGAACAAACTACCTAAAAGAGGAAAACATATTTATTACAGCAATAAGGATCAACAAATTTTAAAACACTAGTTTTAAAGTTCAAAAATATGAAATAAAAAAACAAGATTCTCAACTATCAACTTTTTTTTCAAGTCTTTTAGCATGCGGACTTCAGGTGCTTCCCGTATAATGTTCTAGCAGCACATTTGCATTCCATCTTCCCTGATGATGTTTCTCCATAGATGTTATCTCTTGGTGGACCCTCTCACCGTGGTCATCACTCACATCTCCGCATCTTTTTGGCAAGAAATCTAGATGTAAATAAATGAATCTTCAGAGACATGTTACACCCTAACTTTTGATAGCATGTTAGCAGATTCCCTTCTAGCTCGTGGTGGTTTTCTGCCTTTTTGTTGCTCAAAAGTTCCCTGCTAGCATTTTAAAACGATTCCATGCAGTTAATTCAT